GGCACATAATTGGTGGTGAATAAGTGTGGTGAGTAGTTACTTTTATGTTTAACTGATGTTTTAAAAAACATTGACAGCTATTGCTCTGCAAGTTGACTTTAGATGGTCTCGTTTCCTTTAGTCCGTTAATTAGTTTCATTTGTTTAAATTGCATGGCTAATGAGGTCACTGTCACTGTATCCCTTAAACCACAGGCCTGTGCTTAGCCATTTATCTCATAGAGGATAAGTCTGAAGAGAAGGAAAGGGGAGGGGTGGTGATAGTGGTGAAAGGCCATCTTTACAGAGTGCTCTATGGGCCATAGAATTTGTATTCTACCCTCTATGTTAAATATTGTCTATCTATTGCCTTATTTAATTTTCACAATGACCCTAAGAGACGGGGAATATTAATGTCCCTCTTTTAGACTAGGTAAGACTGAAGTTTAGAGATGTGAAGTGATTGAACTCTATAGCTGGTAACTTGTAGAGCTGGACTTTGAACCTATGCAGCATATGAGCATAAATCTGTCACCCCTGACAGTTTAAAAGAGCAATCTCTAGTGATGGTGGATCCATTGTGTCGCACAGAGAGGAGGAACAAAAATTGTCTCTGATGGTGTAGAGCCAGCTTGGGCAATATTTTGGAGTATGGGCAGGTAGTTCTGTTTTGTATTTCTCCACATGGACGTGTAAGAGGAACAGCTAGGTGGGAGGGGTTTAGATGTCCAAGCTACTTGGAAGAGACCTGAGAATGACAAAGCTTAAATGTGAGTTCACATGCAGCTGAGATAGGAACAGCAGTTTTAAGTGAATTTTCCCATGAACCTATTTCTCCAGTACTTTCCTTTTGTGCAGATTTTGATCCAAAATGTGATGTGGCCAAGTGTTAATGCAGCTGTATGTCAGAGGGAAAAGTGAGATTGCTTTGGCTAATTCTTGCTTTACTTATGCCTTTAATTTATAAGTTAAAAGATTTCTGTGCTTTCTTGGTAAGGCCTGGATAATGGTGATAAAGGACAGCCGTGAATAAATTCTGGGAACCCAAATAACTCTGCTCTCTTAATTCTCTAGGGACATGTAAATTGAATTGGCTCATCAGTGAACAGAACTGATTGCAAAATCACATCTTAGTGCAATAGGAGCATATGAAGGCTTTCCTCACCCTCCTTTGATTTAATTAAATTGTACTCCCATTGTAGCTTCTGGGTGAGGTCTCACAGAATTGCAGTATCCTGTGGTTTGTATCAAAGACCTACTTTCCTGCCCTGGTGTTTATCTTCAGAATTGAGCCCTGTGGTTCAAAGAATATGAAGTGTTACTTCTGGGTTAGATGCCAGCTGGTCACATGGGTTAGTGGTGAATGCTTCAGTCTGGAATCAAAAGGCAATTCCCAGTTTCATTTTCTGACTCATGGCAAATTCTTTATGCCAGTGACTCACCTTCCCTAGCTGCCCATGACATCTCATCATGTCTATCATCATCATCATTATGTCTTATGTATCACATGGTTAGTTATTAAGAGTTTGGGCTTTGGAGACAGACTGTAGGAGTTCTGTCTGGATTCTGCCCAATTCTAGCTGCCTAACCTTGAGCAAGTGACCTGACCTCTCTAATGCCTCAGTTTTCTCCTAGGTTGGTGTGAGGACTAAACAAGATAATGCATTTTAGAGTGCTCAGAGTGGTGTCTGACACGTGATAAGTCTTTTGTCATCATCCTTTGGTTTAATCCATTATTGCTATTGTAATTATTTTATAATGAGTCTCAGGTGGACCCTCATAACATAGAGTAAATCTGTAGTTTGTATTCTCTAGAAGTGTACACTTGAAAACAAATATTCAGTGATACGGATATTTAACAAATCCTCATGTACAGAGTTCAGCTGAAACTAGTGCATCCCTGAATGAAAGTACTATAGAAAGCCAGAGGGCCAAAAGAGACTTGATTATGGGGGCCAGGTTTTAGAGCACTCTGGCTAAGCAGGATGGATGGACTTTAGCTTAAGTTGGGTTGTTGTGTTCGTGTGTTGAGTGATTCATTCTTCCTTGGAGTCATAACTTAGGAATTGTTGAGTGACTCATGTCACCTTGAATTGGTCCTTTTAAGACACAGTCTCTTAGAGACTTACTTGAAGGCACACAAACTGGAGATAACTCTACTAATCAATCCTAAGGCAGAAGCCACTCCCAAAGGGACCTTTTAGTTGGGGAAATTGCCCTTGTCTCTGAACCTCAGTCTGGCATTAGTGGGCAACTGTGAGATCTCATGGTTTTCCCAGAACAGACTGAGCATTTCTGAAGGGGTGAATTGCATGCCCTTTGCTTCTGCCAGAATGGAAGGTATTTATAAACCATAGACTACTATTACAGCTTGGTAGTTGTGTGCATTTGCCACTGCCTAGAAAAGTAAAGGACAATTAGAACCTCCCTGCAGCAGCAAGATAGACCAGTATACCACCTTCCAGCTCTCTGTTCTTGGATAAACTATGTAACCTCTCTGGCCTCCAGTTCCACATCCATAAGATGCAAACAACACTAGTGCCTAACCCACAAGGTGGTTAAAAAGATTTGATGATGTCATGCATGGAACTTGGTAAGTGCCAGTGAACAAAGCCATTTCCACTTAGCACTGTTCCCATACCACCATCCAGCCTGTGTGATGATGAGGCTGCTTCCCTACCTGGGCCTGCCTTGTCAGGCCATGTAGTCATGCCGTTCTGGCAGGCATGGTTTGTTATCTTCATTTCAAACTCATTCTCTTTGGCTCATTTACCCAACCCAGACAGAGATTAATGGCCTGACCTCAGAGCACCGGGCGGCACATGTTCCTGGCACCTTTGGCTCATTGATTGTGCCTCTGCAGTTTGGGGAATACCTCAGTGTTCTAGGCAGGGCCCTCCTGAGCCCTAGGAGACATTTGAAGGAAAGTAATTTGGTGCAAATTCACCTCCTAATTAAGGAGGGCTGAAAGCTCTTGTTTTATTTTATTATTCCTTCTGGATTTTGCCAGTTAGAAACAGGAGCAGGATTCTCTGGACTAGAATGTGTGAATTTATTGGGAGGAATGAAGTGAGCAGGGATGGCCGGAAAAAGTACTTGCCCAAATATGGTCTCCCCCTGTGCTTGCCGTAGCTACCTGTGCCGTTGTAGTGCATGCCGTTGACTGTGGGTCGCTGGTCTGACCTTTACCCATTTGGCTCTGCAGGATTGTGTTTCTGCTTCTCTCTTTGTCCCATTCTTCTCTCCTCTGGTCTGATGCCTTTTCACTCATCAGACAGTGGTACTTGAAATATAGATACCCCTTTTATCCTCATCTTTCTGACCTTCAGCATGTGCCTATTTTTGTACAATCTTTGAGAAATGAATAATAACCGTAAAATGGGAGATTTGTCAAATTATCTGTTTCATCATTCAAAGACCTTCTTGGCTGACTCCTTCAGGTTATAGATGGGGCAGCTGAGATGCAGAGTGGGTGAGAGACTTACCCATGACCCAGGGGCCATGTTGGAATTATTGCTTAGCTCTTGACAAGCATACTTACTAGCAGATAAGAAGCCCCCTTAGGATATCATGACTCTCTTTTCAGAGTTGCTTGGCTCTGTTTCTCTAAGGGTTAAATAAGTGTTTCTCAACCAACAGTGGCCATTATAATCACTGGGAATATCTTTTTTTTTTTTTTTTTAAGTTATCACCAACTTCATCCTATGCCTTTTCATATCTATAGGATCATAAGCACCAAAGAAAGATTTTGGAGCTATGATTTTTTTTTTTTCTAAATCAGAAGCTTTATCATCTTAATAATGTCAGCATATCAGGGATTGGCAAACCCTGGCCTGCAGGCCAAATCCAACTGGCTACCTGTTTTTTTGTAGCCCACGAGCTCAACATGGTATTTACAAGTGAATATTTGCCATTGACTCAGTGATAGGAAACACTTTGAAATCTATTTAAGCTAAATGCTATCCTCCCTCTATAAAAATTCTGTTTTTCTCATTAGTCCTATCTGTATTTCAGAATGTTATACTACTGAGAAAAGATACTCCAAGTGGTTGTGATGGCCACTCTTATAGTTGAGAACCAGCTGTATAACCCCTGGGAGAACCAAGCCAAGCATCCCCAAAAAGCCAGCCATGAAACAAGAAGATTGATTTTCACCTGCTAGGAATTTTATACCTGTATTTTCAAAACTTACTCTATTTGAATTTTGTCAGGAAAAAATTATGAAAATCTGTGGTCTCTCTTGTTTTTCAAGTCCCTGTGTAATCACTGGTTTGGTTTTTGCCTCTTAGGTTGCAAAGCCTGAAATACTTACCATCTAGTGCTTTACAAGAAAAAGCTTGCCAACTCTTCTGGTGTGTCACTGTGTGTCTTATTATGGGACACATTCCCTTTCATGATTTGTATAAATCATTTCAGAATTTTTTTGTTGAAAAAGTAGTATGTTCTCCTTGTAACATTTAAATTCACAGTAAAAAGTTATTGGTCCCATTCCCCAGTGTTAACACTTAACAGTTTGTAATGTATCTTTGTCCAGACTTGGCCATGTACTAGCTGGGAGACCTTAGTTAACCTCTCTAGCCTCAGATCCTCCATCTGTGTATCAGTGATATTAACAGTTCCTACCCAACAGAATTGTTGCGTAGATAATTTGAGATAATTCATGTGAATTGCTTAGCGCCATTGCCTGCTGTGCAATTAATGCTTAATGATTTGTAACTAACTAATTTTTTTCTCCCTTTTAGTTTATATACACATATTAGTTTTTTTTTTTTAAGGAAGTATGTGCCTTTTTTTTTTAAACAGTAAAGCTCCAGAGGTGATTCTCTAATGTGCACACACTTAAGAACAGCTGAAGTAAATATTAGGAAGTAAGTAATAATAGAAGGAATTTCCATTTGGGGGCCAGAAATTGCCTTCCATTTTCTAGCACACACTAGGCAAAGGAGAAGGTAATGGTTTTCTATAGTGAACCTGTTGGGTGGTATAAAATGCACAGAAGTAAATGTTATTTCTGTTTTCCAGGTCTACAACTCAAACAAAGACAGCCAGAGCGAAGGGAGTAAGTATGTTGCTTAGATACTTTTCCTACAGCTGGGTGTGGGCCTGGGCCTGGTGAAATTGCCATTCTGAGGAATAACCACCAGGAGGTGCTGTGGGCACATTGGGTTGGCCCCATTCCCCCAGTGCTTCTGCCCTAATATACCATGTCAGGACGGTCAATGAGTCTGAGGGGGATGGCTGTGATGACATCTTGCACTGTATAACCCTTCACACTGTGCAAAGAATTTTTATGTACATTATCTCAGTTAATCCTGTGTTGTCTTAAGAATGTAGCTCCAGTCACCACTTAAAAGTCACTTAATCCAATAATACCCAGCTCCCCCAGCGCCCTGTCCTGTGGGAAGCCAGAATTGACTTTGCCTCCCACACAGTCTCACTCAGAGGCCTGAAGAGGCAAGAACCATCTTAGTGATCACTTAGTAACTAACTCTGTGTTCCTTGTTGCTGCTCTGGAGAGTTATGAGTGGAGACGGTGAAGTCTGTAATAATATTCCGTTTTGACGGGAGTGACCCTGAGCGGCCTCTGTAGCATTATACAGCACGTTTCCCCTGCCTCTGGCTCTGAGTACTCTGGTTAATTGTGGTTTCCAAGGGCACCTGTAACCTTGTAAAGATGATGGGATTAAAATGGAACTGCTTTTGCTAAGTGTTGGGCTGATTATCTCCTTGGTACATAGGGGAAAAAACAAATTCCTTCCACGTTGCTACCAGAGTACAAAGGAAATTCTGTCCCCTTGCCTCAGAATCGCTTTTGTAAAATCCATTTGGGAAAAGGTTCCAAGGTAGCGCTCCCATGAATTCTCCTATTGTCAGAAAAGTCAGTAAAACAGTGCCTCTTCTTTTGGACAAAAGGATGAGCCATTTTATGTGTGTGTGAAATCCATTATGGAGCAGAGATTTTCCTTCTTTCACTCTTTCCAAAATACAGATTTTATCAGAAGTTTTAAATAAAATATTAAATATTAAATATTAAATTTGGAATGGTTGCTGTTGGTAAGTTCAGAGGCCTTAGGGGAGGAAAACTATTTTTTGTTGTTTCTTTTTTCCCCTCAGGAATTGAACAAGGGAAAATTTTTTTCAAGTAAATATTCAAAGAAACAAGTCATTTTTCCTCCCTCTGTATCAGGTGGGATTGCTTTAGAATATCTGAAATCAACTCTGGCTAACTTGTCCTAAAATAGCAATAGCAAAAACAATATTAAAAATAATGAAGGAATATAGAAATCTTCAGGGTAATTCAAAGTAAGGTAGGAAGAGCTAAAGAACCAAGGCTTGAAAGCTGGACAGTTCTGGAGACCTGAGAACCAAAGAGAAAGGATCCTCTGGATGATACTTGCAGGAATTTTTCAGTCCTTGCCTCCCTCTTCTGAAGGTCCAGATTGCCAGGAAAGATAGCATCAAGCTTTGACCCACCCAGAGGTCAAACCGATGGTTTCGAAAGTGCTCATAAAATGAGAGCATGGTAGTTTACCTGCAGGGAGATCAGCAAACTCCCCGGATATGGATATGAGAGGGTAGATGCCCTGCAGGCTGAAATAGCAGATGCCTACCCCATGCCCCAGCCTACAGTGCATGTCTGTTATAAAGGACCCAGAACTGTGGGGGTTGAGACACATATGAATGGAGAACCACCCCCGCCCTCACCCCCAGACCAGAAGCTTGCCTGTAACTTTTGACCTTACGAATCTGCGTGTCTCTCCTTGAGATAAGTACCAATATATATGAAAGATGACTAGGATTCTGCTGGTGCGCATGCCAGCTGGTTGTACCATTCTGTAAGGCCTTTAGGGCATAGGTACAAGAAATGTTTAAAAAGTAAACATCCTTTGATTGATGTGTACACGCTGTTGTATTTAAAATGGGCAACCAACAAGAACCTACTGTATAGCACAGGGAACTCTGCTCAATATTATGTAACAATCTAAATGGTAAAAGAATTTGAAAAAGAATTTAAACATCTCCTGCACTGGCAGGCGGGTTCTTTACCAGTAGCACCACCTAGGAAGCCCGAAGAATATATGCTGAAAAAGAATGGACACATGTATATGTATAACTTAATCACTTTACTGTAAACCTCAGTACTATACTATGCACTGTACTCCCCAGGTACACAGTTTACTGTATAAACTAATACAGCATTGTTAATCAACTGTGTGCTGTGCTATGCTTAGTCACTCAGTCATGTCTGACTCTTTGTTACCCCATGAACTGTAGCCTGCCAGGCTCCTCTGTCCATGGAAATTCTCCAGGCAAGAATGCTGGAGTGGGTTGCCATGCCCTCCCCCAGGGGATCTTCCTAACCCAGGGATCGAACCCAGGTCTCCCACATTGCAGGCGGATTCTTTACCATTTGAGCCACCAGAGAAGCCCTATACTCCAATATAAAATAAGTTAAAAAGAAAAACTCCCGAAGTATTAATAATTAAAAAAAAAAAAGTAAATATCGTTCCACCTAGTGATTTGTCCTAAAGAATAGACTGGAGTACAAAATGTTTCTGTAAAAAAAAAAAAAAAAAGTTCACCAGAGCATTGATAATAATAGGTGAAGAACTGGAGACAATCCAAATGTTCAGTAGGAAGTTTATTAAAAGTATCATAGAATGCTCTGTAGCCTTTAAAAAGAATGAGAGACCATATGTAAAATAGATAGCCAATGGGAATTTGCTGTATGGCTCAGGAAACTCAAACAGGGCTCTGTATCAACCTAGAAGGGTAGAATGGGGAGGGAGATGGGAGGGAGGTTCAAAAGGGAGGGGATATATGTATATCTATGACTGATTCATGTTGAGGTTTGACAGAAAACAGCAAAATTTTATAAAGCAATTATCATTCAATAAAAAAATAAAATTTAAAAAGCACTTAAAACCAAAAAAAGAAAAAGAATGAGAGAGATCTTGATATATTTTCAGAAGCAGTGTCCCCCATATACTGTTCATTGAGCTTTTTAAAATTCAGATTGTGGAATGGTGCATTTATTAAAATAAATTATTTGACTTGTCTAGATATATTGATTGGAGAAGGCAATGTCACCCCACTCCAGTACTCTTGCCTGGAAAATCCCATGGACGGAGGAGCCTGGTAGGCTGCAGTCCGTGGGGTTGCTAAGAGTCGGACACGACTGAGTGACTTGACTTTCATTTTTCACTTTCCTGCATTGGAGAAGGAAATGGCAACCCACTCCAGTGTTCTTGCCTGGAGAATCCCAGGGACGGGGGAGCCTGGTGGGCTGCCGTCTGTGGGGTCGCACAGAGTTGGACACGACTGAAGTGCCTTAGCGGCAGCTTAGCAGTAGCAGCAGATATATTGATAGAAAAAGTCTGGAAATACATTTATCAGCAAGCTGTTACTCAGGATAGAGGATGCTGCTGCTGCTGCTGCTGCTAAGTCGCTTCAGTCATGTCCAACTCTGTGCGACCCCGTAGATGGCAGCCCACCAGGCTCCGCTGTCCCTGGGACTCTCCAGGCAAGAGCACTGGAGTTGGTTGCCATTTCCTTCTTCAGTGCATGAGAGTGAAAAGTGAAAGTGAAGTCACTCAGTCGTGTCTGACTCTTCGTGACCTCAAGGACTGCAGCCTTCCAGGCTTCTCTGTCCATGAGATTTTCCAGGCAAGAGTACTGGAGTGGGTTGCCATTGCCTTCTCCACAGGATAGAGGATAGATTACCACAAGACACTGACATACTTTAAATATTCTTTAGACTTTGAATTGTCGACAGAGGGTATGTGTTTTATAATAATAGCTATTAATAGGTAGCATTTATCAACTGCTTACAGTGTTTCACCATGTTTTATGCACATTAGCTTATTTGATGCTCACAGTGCTAAGTGAAGTAGGTGCTCTTGACCTACTTTGTAGATTAGGAAGTTGAGGTTGGTCAACTCAGGAGATGTTATTTAATCTGAGTGCTGTCTGACTCTAATGTCTTTGCTGTTGACGACAAAAGATTTTCTACCTCCCTAGGAAAAGGGCAATGCAGAAAGTTCCATTTTGGGCAACAGACACACTTGAACATTTTGCTTTTGGCATCCTGTTACCCACAGGGCACAGAGAGTTGGCTGCCTTGAGTCTCTGATGATTCTTCAGTTGCTTACCCTTTCATTTAGGAAGTGGGAGAGAAAAAGATGTTAAACATATTGACCACTTTTCCAGGAGCATCTTTCACAGAAACTGTTTTTCTAGGGTATTGCTATCCTAAGAGATGTTCTGTTCTTTAATTTCCAAGCTGGCAAAACCAGAGGAGTGCTCTGGACTGGTGCTTCCTCCCGTCCTCTGACATTAGGATCCCCTCTTCCATCACACAGGCCTTGGCTTTGCTTCGCCTCGCCTCCCTTCCAGAGCGCTGTCCCTTTCTTATTCCTCCTGGCAGTAATTTGCAGCTTCACTACACACCCACCATAGCACTCATCGCCACAGGAAGCACTATTGCCCAGGGTCTAGTTGTTCTGCAACTGTTTATAGGACCATCAAAACTTTTTTAAAGGAAAGAAGTCAGTCTGACAGGAGTTTAAGAGCTGGACATCGTGCTTTTCACCTCTAATAGCCAACTTCCAAATGTCTAGCATTTTCCTTTCTAGAAAATATTTTGGTGGGAGTTTGAGTGCCAACATTTTTATCACAGAACCAGAATGTTTGAAAAGACAGATTGCAAAAGGGAATTCCTTTGGGGACAGTGCTGAATTTGTTGCTTTTTCTCTTGAATTTTCTCTCAGGGCTTACTGTGTCTGTGGGGTATAAGGGGCCATACATAATGTCTGGCAGCTGCTGGCATTTTCCAAGTGGCCCGGTGCCAGGGAGAGGTTGCCAGCAGACAAATATATGCACCTTTCTTTGCAGAGCCTTTTCCCCCTCCTCTTTCTTCTCTATTTGGATCTCAGGTACAGAGAGAATGATTTAATCATTCTCCCCGATTTGTCATACGTGATCATCCCAGACCCCTCCCACCCTCCCTCCCTGCCTTCCTTCGTGTGTTCGTTCATTCACTCATTCCCTTGGAATTCT